TTTTACTAGTAGAATAATTGACCCATTTTGAATACATTTTACAGACTTCTCATTCTGACATGGAGAAGCCTTTTCTTTGCGCTTGTGGAGTGTCATTTTCAGCAGATGAAACCTTGAAAGCTCATAAACAATATTACTGTAAGATGGTGGAGAGAAGAGATGACAATAAAGAGCCACCAAAAAAGGTTAAGATATTCTTAATGGTTATGGAGACAGGACTACTATTATTATGCAATTGATCGATGATATCTTCTTATCAAAATTTGAGCTGAATTAACTAAACATGTAGATATTTTTATGTCATCGTATCTACCCTTATTATGGTGGTAACAGCCATGATCTCTTGGCTACTTTACAAGCTTCATCAGTTGACATTACATTCCCGAAAAAAATTAGGTTGATAGCATCAAAAAAAAGCATTTACGTACTGCTTCCCAATTTAAGCACTAATTTTGAATTTTTTTTTCCCAAGCATAAAGCACCACTTTCAGATCAAAACCAGATGCAGTCAATGTGACTACGAGCCAGGTTCCCTCTCACAACTATCCGTGCATGTACGAACTGTACATAACGAGGTACAAGCGTATGTATGCCGACTCTGCGGTTACCGAGGATTCAGTCTTCGAGGAATTCGAAGCCACATGAGGTAAGGTATAAGCACTTTTCCGTAAACATAATTTATGTTCAAATGTTTGGGAAGATTTGATGTCATTGTTTAGGTCACATTCCGAGCTAGACGCTATGAAATTCGAATTTCTTCTAGCAAATCATATATCAAAAGTGAAAACAGAACGAAAGACTCCTGATAATCAAGAAAACATGGATCAAGACAGTTGAAACTGGAAAACTAGAAGATCTCATATATTCTATTCTTCTTTTTGTCAATGAACGGTGAATGTTGAATACGCATGTGCCAGGACTGTCCCTTGTTTAGATTGTTTTGTGTAATTCATGTCAAAATCTCAATGCGGCACAATTCTGGTATTCCTTATCATCGGGTCTTTTGAAAATTGGATTACATGTTACCGATTGTCAC